GAATCAATAAATAAATAATGAATGCTTAATTCTAAATTAATTTCTTATTATAGAATTCCCTTTTAATTTGCTTAAAGGGAAGTGTGTGTGCTTGTTTGTTAAATATTTGTGTGTGGTACGAGAGAAATCATTGATTGATTATCATTATCTTAATGATTCCTATAAATAGTAATGGTAAATCGGCTTTATTATTTTGGATTTACAAGCAAAAATTTTACTGCGTTAATTGGATGATTTTTACATGATCGACAATACGGCTAAATTTATTTTATTATTATTATTATTATTATGCAGATCTTTTCGTTGTAAAAATCAGTATTTCTGAAAAATCTTGTGTCCAATCATGTTTCATTGGTTAATAAACCTCAATGATCTGTAAATTTTTCCTTGGAGACTCTCTCTCGCATTCAACACTTGAAAGGACCAGAGTAAAAGTTTTATTGATGTTATATAAAGGAAATCATCTGTAGATAAATTTATTTAAAATAGTTCAATTCCTTATTGATAATAATAAATTATCTGCTGTGTATATTGATCATATCACCTTCGAATATAATTCATGAATACCATCACCATGAGAAATCCCAAAACCCGCCATCTTCATCATCAATCTTGAAATAAATTGAAGAATTTAAACTGAACAATGAAGTAATTTTTATGGTGGTAATATATTAATAAATCATCTGGCAAAAAAAGAAGACAAAAGAATCAGATATTTATAGTAGTGACATGTTAATGTCGGAAATTTTTGCAGGACATCCACCATCTGGTAATAATAATAATAATAGAACATAATTTTCGTTCACAACTAAAAATATAAAACTGTCAGTCATCGTTATCAAATACGTCTGATACACCATACTATTGAAGAACATTGTGAGTTTGCTAATAGTAATAAATTAGAAGAAATTATCTTTAAAAAACAACAATAGTAATAATGTTGTACAAGCTGAATGAATTATCCAGTTTTAATTATATACTAAATCGGAAAATTGATTTTAATAATGATAATAATTTCATTAAATTACTTTTTGTTAAATTATCATTAATCAATTAATAATAATAATAGATTTTAATAACAATCAATAATGAAGGATTATAGCATTATGTAATTAAAATTACTACCGACGGCACTGAAATTTTTAAATTCCTAAACCTTCATTATTATATTAACATCCGATAATTGGTTTTCGCCTTTTACAAAAAAATTTCACGGATTACCAAAATTCATTATTTTTTTGGTTAAAATAAAAAAAGTAAATTCTCACTGTGTAATGACGCAAATTTTCATGGGAAGAAGAAGAATTAAATAATGGTGCAACATCATCCATACAAGCTGTTGGTTCATTTTAATTGGATTCTAATGGTTATTAGTAAAAAAGGACGATGAGACATAAAAATATTAATATATTTCCACACTAAAAAACGAACATTAATAGTAATCAAGTAGATAAAAAATTTTAAATAGATTAGTATCATTGTTATTATGAGATCACTACTTAAGGAAATCCATTTAAAAATATACCGCCCGTAATTGAATTAAATAGAATATCTACTTTGAAAATAAATTATAATAAAGTTGATAATTCTAAAATAAACACTCCCAACGCCTTTAATGCTAATAATAACAATAATAATAACTTATTACCAGGATTCCATGACAAAAACGATGGTAGAATGACTTTAAGTGATTATAATCATTACCCTAGAAATAAAAATAGAGGTGGTCAGGAACTTCCAATATTGATAAACCCTTAACTGACAAATTTTATAATATGAGAGATAGTATATTTATATTTAAATAATAATTGTGTTAATTATAATTTAATAATTTTTTTTCTTTATTAAGAAATAGACTTGTAAATTTTTTTATTTTTATTTTCACTTAATAGACCTTACGGTTTATATTTAACTTAATATTAAAATAAATGCAAACTTCAAATGAATTGATAAATTTTCTAAAAAATAATATGACTTCAGCAATTGACTGTGCCGGGTCCTCTCTCAACAATTTGTAGGAACTTTACCTAGATTTCTGCAGAGCGAGTAGGACTTATACCCTTTTAAAGAATTATTTTGGAAGTTTTTACCTTGCTTTAAGTAATACTATCCATTTGCTATTAACGTTTATTTTTCCTTTTAAGAAACAATAATTAGCCATCGTTGTTTTCAAACTATATTTTTAATCCATATAATTCGATCACTCGCTCACTGCAACGTTTAACGTTTAATTCAAAATTCTGCCCTATTTCATAACCTCGTTCTGTACTTAATGCATTTCCTTGTTTGATCACATTATTAATTATTTCAATACACTCATTGTTATTTAAGACAAACAATTTCAATGATAATTAGTTTTCGCCGATTTCCTTCCCTTTTTTACCATATTGGGAGCTGCAAAAGTCCCTCCATAAGCGCAACCTCCCTGGGAATTGATGAGAGCGTGCATTTATGGAGGAATGCATTTATAGAGGGGAAGAATTTTATTGGTTGCATGTGATACTAATAAAAATTATTGTACATTAATATTGTTGTTGACTAAAATTGTTTCGTCATGGTTTGCTTCATTGAATTTTTTTTTTAAAAAAATTAATGTAACGCTCAAGGGCATTAACTTGTCTTGATTTTCTTATTTTATTTTTATTAAACATAAATTTTTAAAAAA